GAGGCTTGCACCTTCGGTGGTCGACTCGGTTGTCTCAGAATCCTAGTTAATATTGGCCTGATCTGCTGCCCTATGGTGTATACTTATTAGTTAAACCATGCATATATATATATATATATATATATATATATATATATATATATATATATATATATATATATATATATATATATATATATATATATATATATATATATATATATATATATATATATATATATATATATGCTGGTAGCTGCAGTGATACAGACTTGCTGACTGGAACTTCTCCAGGTCCCCGCTAAATATGTCCCCTCCAGTTACACATCCGTAAAGAGGCCCTGAACCTGTATTATTAAAAGCAATGCATGAAGCTAGAAAACGCAACGTTAACTATTATTAATTAAAGAATCTAAATAGTATAAGCTATTGAAAAAAAAATGCTGCAAAAGAGAGAGTGGCAAAAAATATCGTACATGGTGATGGGATAGGGGAAAAAAATCCTGCACATAACGATCCCATATCAAGAAAAAAATTCCCTTCCAGCAGTAAATCTCCAACCCCTCCCCCCCCCTCAAAAGTTAAATGGTCGGCCCCTTACTGGGGTTTCTTGAGATTTCACTCCAGTTATAAAGTGAGGTCATCGGCGAAGGTAAAGTATTTCAATTTCCGAAAATCAAAAGTAATTCAGGTGCAAAACGTTATATTCTTGACTTGAAACCAATCTCCTCCTGGTACACACCATGGTATATTTATTCTGCGATAAAATATTCTTTTGTGCCATGGCGGGTGACGTGCAAGTCAAGAATAGAGAAAATGTAAAAATCAGTCCAGTCCAGTCCAACTGTCCAGTCCAGTCCAACTGTCCAGTCCAGTCCAGTCCATGTTTTGTACTATGCCACTTAAACTTTATCACATTAAGTTAAAACATGGATTAGTTCATTCATATGCTAACTAAATGATTAAATTTCCATCAAATCTTCGAGCGACAACTGAAAATTGCGCTCATATATTGGAGATAAAAGGATTTAATTTTTAAAATAAGGTATTGCTCTTAAGTTTATAACATCATGTCGAAAAGTAACAATGGAATTCAACTACTGGTTTGTTAAAAAGGTAAAAACTTACTGATTTTTCTTTCCGATTATTGTTACCCAATTCCTGAAAAAGAATTTTTGAGTTTTTGGTTACTTTCATTGTAGAACTAAACTAAAACTAAACTTACTTCAACATTTTACAACTATTCCTAGCATTTCTATTAAAACAGATATTTCTCGAACTGAACTATATACCCAATGACAGGAGAGACCCTGGGAACAAGGTTGCTATATACCCTTTATTAACTAGGTGTTTGTGGTTGAAATAATAACTAATTCTCAAATACGCGATTCTGATTGGTTAACTTTTGCACCAACTGCATGTAGTTAACTTTCAATGCTTTTAATACAACTGGCACACAATTATTGCATGGAAAATGGAAGCCCAGCGGTGGAAATGAGAGGCATACGCACTAACGATTATCACACGAATACGACAACATATTTATGCTCACGTTCTTCAAAAATCCAAACACATGCCTATATATGCATCAGTAAAAAGGTGTAACAACCAATAATGATCCGAACTTATATGGATTGAAAAATTTGGCCAAATAAATATCATCATTACACGTTTTCGCCAAAACAAAATTTATGGTATACACGATGCAAAAATGTTCATTCCCGAGGGTTGATATTCACATGAGCAGTATACAAAATACTTGAATGTAGATTTATTGCAAAATGCTGACAAATTAAACATTTTCCATTTGATACAATTCGCTTTTTCGTCCATTGGTGGTTTCCAACATGCGAACTTTAATCCTCTAATCCTTTTTATTTTCTATTTCCCCATAATTCTTATTGTAACAGTGTGTAAGCTATTCCGCAATTTGATTGGTTGAGCTACTCGCCGTATATTTAACAGTTATGCTGCGAACTCGAGTCGTATATATGAGCTGATTGCAGACGAGGTGCGAAGCACCGAGTTGGCTATCAGTCATATACGACGAGTGTGAGTAGAATAACTGTTTTATTATTATTTTGAAACAACATTGTTTTATTATTATTTTGAAACAACTTGGCCAAAACCTGAGACAGCACGGCTGCTCATTTTGTTTAAACCAATACTTCGAACATTGCTAAAACTTGAAATTTGTATGATTTAATAATATAAATTAATTAATAATATAATTTAGGTAAACAAACGCCTGTTGACTTTACTTCTATCAATAGTTTTTACTTTTAAATCAGATTTGTCAAAAAAATTATACTTATATATTATTTTCGCTCTTTCGGCATTATTTTTTTTTTTAAATATTTTTTAGCCACTTTCAGTATAAAAAAGTATTTGCTAACGTGTAAACAGTTGCTGGGAGTATTTTATTGTGTTTATATTGCCGTTAAGGCTATAAAGGGCGAATAATTTCTCGTTCGCAAAACCCCGTAATTCTTGCGCCGCCATCTTGTTTTCTCTATTAGCAGGATATGATTCAGATTGCAGAATAGCTTATATCCGGTTGCTGTCTATTTAACAATTACATTACGAGCCCGATATTTCTATGAGGTGCTTGGTGATGAGGGCGAAACCCGAAACAATTATCACCTGATAGAAATCGAGAGCGAGTAATCTAATTGTTTTAGTAGAATCAGAGATCAAACTACCCTGGTTCCAGAGGCTCTTTGCGAGGCGAAAGAAACGAAAGGCGCGAACGGAGAGCTTCTGGTCACATCGATTCAAATCCCACTTCCATACTTGATTAGGTTCAGAATTTGAATCTCGCATGTGATTGGCCAATTGTAAAAATATGTCAAACCGGTTTGGGAAATAAACATTACTGTAAGCTAATTATATTATATTCTGTATTAAAACTCAACCAAGCATGAATATGAATACTCCTGTAAAAAAAGTCTGAAACTGAGAAATTTGATACCTTTTTCACAGGAGTATTAATATTCATGCTTGGTTGAGTTTAATACAATATTCTAATACAGGTTATAATTAGCTTGCAGTAATGTTTATTTCCCAAACCGGTTTGACATATTTTTACAATTGGCCAATCACATGCGAGATTCAAATTCTGAACCTAATCAAGTGTGGAAGTGGAAATTGCAATCGATGTGACCAAAGAGCCTCTGGAACAAGGGTAAGATCAAACATGAAATATTGCCATTTTTTAAAATGCGCCAGGTACTAGTATGATTCTACTAAATAATACCATAACGTATTGGATTTTTCGGAGCCCAATATGGCAAAATGTTAAGTATAGTAACACTTCAATATTGAGCCAGACCAAAAGTCGAGCTCAATATTGAAGTCAGGACTTAATATTTTGCCATATTGGGCGAAGATGAATACAATATAGGTGTTTTCTTATAATGAAAAAACAATTTTATAACAAAAATTGGTCTTTATAAGCGATAGTAATACAGCGAAAATAATACACAAATGCATCGGCGGCGAATTACCATAAGGTGGTTAGATATATTAATCCATACAAGAATTACGAAAACAAAACTTTTTGCTAAATGAACAAACCCGCGTGATCATTCGTGATAAGGAAACATCTGAAAAGGTTTGGTCAACCAGCAATAAAGTCTTGACAAGCTACTTTCCAATATGCTAATGTCCTAGCAACTGGTTTAAGTTATTTAAAGAATTAATGACCTAGAATTGTTCAGAAAAAGTCGCAACAGAAAATAATAATATAATTGTTATATAGCTCATTCTACATGACGTAATGATCGAATGGGCTTTATAATTATAGAATAACATGACTAAAATTAACATGATCCTCCTTAAATTTTACAAGTTAATAAAATTCAGTTCTTAAAAACAATTATGAGCAACAAGCTAAAAAAACAAATGAATTTGGAGTCAACAAGCACTTAATACTAAGTAAATGAAGAATCGAGCAACGCTCAGTCATTTTAATTGGACATTGTGCACCTGCCTCTAGTCACAATGAAACTCATTAGTCAAATGGTAATACGTTTTACCTCTATATCTTTACATGACTTTATGGTGATCCCAAATTTCGCAGCATTCTGTTCGTCCTCTTCGCTTACATCTCCAATTTTAATAATGTGTCTCAACTTCGGACACTGGTCAGCTTTCTCGAACAAAATAGGAAGTTTGTTGGCATCGCACACGAGCACTGAAATGTCGGCTGTAGGAGTGAAATGAAGAAATCATAAATTGAACTTTCCTTGTTGGTTCAGATGGCTATAAGTATAAGGCAAAAAGGTGCATGACCTCCATTTATTCATATATATTCGTCTACTTGTTTATACATAAATTTATACATCGTACGGAGTAGCGTCGATTGTATCCGCTCGTGGAAAACCTTCATATTACATATATTAAGAACTTTTTCATGATTTGGCTTGTTCAATTGAGTTGAGGACTCAAGAAGTTTACCCTGGGTGCCAGAGGTTCTTCCACGCTCGTAGGGGGATAATGTGGGATACACGAGGACGTAAGCTGGCGGGAGGCGAGCGGGAAGAACCTCTAGAACACTTCTATGGCTTTTACTGTTTTAACTGTCACATGTCAACCAAACGTTAGTCAATAGGGCACGTACTTATTTTTGACTGATGATGATTTGGGCGTATGCAACCGAACATTTGAGCGATGGAAATTGTGACAGAATGTGTCAATTTCAAAACAAAAAATTAAAATTACCGAGTCTTATAGTAAATTAAATAAACCGAATAATATTATATGGCCACATGGCATTCGACCGTACACCTGTTAAGAGTGTTACAAAAAAGTGGAGACGAGTATCGTCGAGTTTGTGGTGAATTTGTTAATCACAGTGGGTATTCTTAGTATATTCAGTAAAAGGGCCGTCGCCTCGGTAGATTGAACTTTGAAGCATTTCTTGTTCATAATAATACAAATGAATATATTTGCCGTCTAAGAGCCTGTTTATATGGAGGCGAGTTACTCGGCAATTGGCGAATAAAACTTATCTAATGATTCGTATGTATTTTTTAGCTATATATTATATTTCAAATGCATACATACATTCTATCTCGGGTGACCGAGTTACCCGAACATCTTTTGTTTAATATGCATGGTAACTATTCATTTCGCCTAGGGGAGTATCTCGCCTCTTTCTGCCGGGAACTCATCAGTGGCGAGTTACTCAGCTGCATCATCATGTAAACAGTCCCCGGGCTTAATATAAGTTTCTATAATAGTCGGGATCTTGTCGTTGACGAGTATAAACTCGCCCTGTCGGGTGATTCGCCTCGATATAAACAAGCCTATAAATTAGACTCCCATCTTGTCTTGACATGCTTGATTACTAGACAGACACGCACACGAAATTCCCTCTTATTCATTTCGTAATATAGCAAACACATGACGCATCAACTGAAACACAGAAACAGGGCATCATCTTGATGTTTATTGAGTTTTGTAACACCAGTAAAAGATTTCAAAACCGAATCAACCGCGACCAAGTTGTTGGAATCCTCTCGCAAAACTAAAGGCTTATATATCTACGCCTGACTATGTTAATATAATATTAAACAACAGCGTATGCCTGTACGGATTCTGAACATACGGACATACGGTATTACGGTTCAAACAGCCAATGAAAGTCATTGTTTTAACAAGTATTAATTGGAATGGGTCAGAATAACGCAATAATTGGATTGGGGTCAGACGTATGTTGTTGGGCTCCTGTTCAAAATGAATTATCAACAGTTATTAATGCTTTATATAGTTTCTTTGGCAAGAAGAAAAATAAATTAACATGGTCAGGATCTCTAGAAGATCTCAAGGCATTTGTTCTTACAATAGTCGACGAAGAAAGTGCTGAAAGTTCGACATGGCGTTCACCCAGTGGCGGATAATGGTGCTTCGATAGCGATCAACTTAAAGTTACGTGGTATACGAAGAGGGAAGCAACACTCTTTGAAGGGACCAAAGCTAAAGATTTGTCTAAACGAATACACGGTATTCTTGTAGAATCAGTCGACCCGAAGAAAGCCAAAAATAGCGATCTTAACAAGTCCTTAGAATGTTTTATGGTCGAAGCGAGCACTGAAGTGGATAATGTTAGTCCTGATGAAACGCCAGGATCATGCACCTCATTGTTGCAAGTATATAAGTAATTATATCTCTTGCTGCAATATCAGTAACAATAATCATGTCGAAAATGTGCTCGGGCTAGGCAAGTCTTGTAACCATGAAACTACCAAGCAGGGTTTGTCAGAAGTAGAAATTACATCTTTTGTCCCCGAGGCTGTGGCTGCCAACCCTTGTTGTCATCACTACGTTGTGAAAGCGTTCCCGGGTGCAACCGTTGAGGATATGGAAAACTTTATCAAACCTATTACTCGTAAGTCATCGAATAAAGTCATTCTTCATGTCGGCACAAATGACTTAAAAAATTCCACACCGAAAGTTATTGCGGATTCAATTTTAAACCTGACGACTCAGATAAAAGAGGATTCTCCAAACACTATGGTAGGTGTATCAGCGTTGCTAGACCGGAATGACTGTCCGAAATTAGCTACTAAGGTTAAGCAAGTTAACCTTATCTTAGACAATTACTGTTGAGTAAACAAGATTCCTTTCCTAAGAAATGCAAACATCAATACTAGTCATTTGAACGGAAGAGGTCTGCATTTAAACAAGTTAGGTAGTTTATCACTCCAAAATAATGTTATTGAGTTTACAAATAACTTTAGACCATTGACATAACGCCGCTTCGTTTAGAGTTGCTAAATCAGTATATAATATGCAATCTTTACAAACTAATATGCCTAATGAACAAAACCTACTCTTGCCTAAGATGAGTGGTTTTAAACTAGCATCACTCAATGTAACTAGTTTAGTTAAGCACATAGAGGAGCTCAGAATCCTCCTAGCCAATAATATGATTTATGTATTGGCTATAAATGAGACAAGGCTTGACTCTACGGTTAGTGATGATGAAGTGCATATACATGGCTATGAAATTGTTCGCCGTGATAGAGAATCTAATGGTAGATTTGGCGGAGGTGTTTGTTTTTATATCCGTAGTTGTATAAATTTTTCGGTTCGGCATGATTTATCATTTGATCAATTAGAAAACTTGTGCATCTTAAGCGACATGGTACAGGCCACCTAATTCACCAGCGGTAAAGTTCAGTCACTTTGAATCTCTCCTAGGTATACTTGATGCTGAAAATATTGAGTACTATCTAATGGGTGACCTGAATTGTGATCTCAGCTCTACTGTCCTAGATCACAGTTCAAGGCTGCTCATTGATATTGCTGAATTATACAATCTTTCTCAGCTGATAAATGACCCTACTCGAACAACAGATTCCTCCTCTACATTGATAGATCATATCTTTAGAAATACTCCCGATAAATGCTCTGCTTTCGTGTCTCTCATGTTAGTATAAGCGATCACAGTCTCATTTATGCTTTTCAAAAGCTTTCTATTAGTCTGCCGACAAGGGGTCACTCGGTAAACTATAGAAAGTTTAAAAACTTTGACTCCATCAAATTTCGTAACTTCAATGTAACTAGTTTAGTTAAGCACATAGAGGAGCTCAGAATCCTCCTAGCCAATAATATGATTTATGTATTGGCTATAAATGAGACAAGGCTTGACTCTACGGTTAGTGACGACGAAGTGCATATACTGTACATGGCTACGAAATTGTTCGCCGTGATAGAGAATCTAATGGTAGATTTGGCGGAGGTGTTTGTTTTTATATCCGTAGTTGTATAAATTTTTCGGTTCGGCATGATTTATCATTTGATCAATTAGAAAACTTGTGCATCTTAAGCGACATGGTACAGGCCACCTAATTCACCAGCGGTAAAGTTCAGTCACTTTGAATCTCTCCTAGGTATACTTGATGCTGAAAATATTGAGTACTATCTAATGGGTGACCTGAATTGTGATCTCAGCTCTACTGTCCTAGATCACAGTTCAAGGCTGCTCATTGATATTGCTGAATTATACAATCTTTCTCAGCTGATAAATGACCCTACTCGAACAACAGATTCCTCCTCTACATTGATAGATCATATCTTTAGAAATACTCCCGATAAATGCTCTGCTTTCGTGTCTCTCATGTTAGTATAAGCGATCACAGTCTCATTTATGCTTTTCAAAAGCTTTCTATTAGTCTGCCGACAAGGGGTCACTCGGTAAACTATAGAAAGTTTAAAAACTTTGACTCCATCAAATTTCGTAATAACATTAGTCTACAAAATTGGAGCCATATTAAAGAACTTGAAAATCCTAATGATATGTGGCATGCTTGGAAAACTACATTCAATTGTGTTGTCGATAAACATGCCCCACTTTGTACAAAACGTGTCAAGGCTTCTAAATCGCCTTGGATTACGTCTCACCTGAAGGACGAAATGCATAAAAGAGATATTCAAAAAATCAAAGCGATTCGTTCCAACGATCCTCAGGCTTGGTCTTCATTTAAGAAAATGCGTAATTCAGTTAATCACAAAATTTTTCGTGCTAAAGAAACTTATTTCAAAAATGCTTTCTGTGAAAATAAAGGAAACCCTAAAAAGACTTGGAATATAATCAACGAACTTACATCTAAGAATCGAGAAATCGCTCAAATTAGCGAAATTAATTTGAACGGTCACTTAAGCCTGCCGCACACGAGAGCTATCTGCTCAGCAAAAAGTTACTCGTGCCTGTTAGCTCAGCCGATAGCTCACCGTGTGCGGGTACATTTTACTGAGTTTTTTGCCTCATGCAACCTTTTCTCACGTATCAAACATGTTTGATCGGTGAGCTATCAGCTGAGCTAACAGGCACGAGTAACTTTTTGCTCAGCAGATAGCTCTCGTGTGCGGCAGGCTTTAATTAATGATTCTAATAAAATCGCTGATCCATTTAATGAATATTTTTCTAACATCGGCCCCAAACTTGCGGATAACATAGACTTCAATAAAGGCAACCGGTCCTACCAAGAATATTTATCTGGTCAAAATACTAATACGACATTTCAATTGAAAGAAACAAATTCCTTAACAGTCTCTGTACTTTTGTCCAAACTAAGTAGGTCAAAAGCAACTGGCTTGGACAAAATCTCCACTAGATTACTTCGAGAGTGCCCTGATTTAATCGCCGAACACATTAGTCTCATCTTTAATCGTTCTATTATCACATGCATATTTCCCAAT